GATTTTTTTATTTAAAACTCATAAGATTATTGATGAATGTTCATGAAATTATTAGGCGTGGTGTCATGAACACGAAAAGCAATCGATCAGATTTCGGTACAGATGTGGACATAGTTGCCATGGTAACATCGACTTCGGGAATATTTTTTTATCTATAACTTAAAAACATGAGGATATTCTATTGCTAGGACCAAGCCATTAAATGTAGGGATGTTGTACCGGTTGACTTGCCATGGAATCAGCAATTTTGCGAATGATTTTTCATTTATAACTCAAACATTTATTGATTTATTCATATTAATTCTTCAGCAAGGGTTTCTAGTGATAACTAGTACCAATCTATTATATTTTGTTAGAGATGTGGATTTAGTTTCCTGGAAAGAATATAAAATAAATCCTTTAAAAATAGTTCCTTTTCAATTTAAATCCACGGGTCTGGGTCTAGATTTAGGTTTAAAGGGCCGTGGTCGTAGCGCAGCGCGTGTTCGAATTTCATGTAAATAAACAATGTATTTTACACACGTTGTATACGTCCCTGTGAGTCCCATATCGAACAGGACGCGGCGCGACGACTACCTCCCTTTAAGGGATATAATAATTCAAGATTCAATTTGATCTTTCTTTTTCGAAGGAAATTAAAAGCTTACATTGCTCATAAGATAAATGTATACAATATAGGGAAGAGGTATTGCCGAGGATGTGTAATTTGCATTTATTATATAACGGAGATGTTGTGCTTTCGAAGAGCCTTCTAGTACATGTTTTTGTCTTCCTTACATCTTTAAAATTGTTGCCTGCTCTCCCGTTAGTTCATATTAGTTGATGACCTTTAGTAATCAAACCTTTAGTCACATGACATCGACAAATCACGTTATCTTCCTTATATGGTAACTGATAAAAGCGCTGCAGTCGTCACGCAGCGCGTGTTCGAATTCCATGTAAACAATGTATTTTACACGCGTTGTTCCATGCCGAACAGCACGCGGCGCGACGACTCAACTAAACTCAACTCAATTCATCTCAACTCAACTCAACTCAACTCAACTCAATTCAACTCAGCTCCACTCCAATTCAACTAAACTCAACTTCAATTTAACTCAACTCAATTCAAGAAAACAGTTTTATTGTTATGCTCACGTAGATTTAATTTAACGGATTTTACTTATCAGCGAAAAAGAACGAAACTAAACTCCGGTGAATTTACAGTTGTTATGCTGCCCTCAACGTTATTTGTTATCATACTGCAGACACAGGCGGCTCGCCGGGTACCAAGGCATTTACGGCAATGCAGCGATGACAGACTGGAACCGGACTACAGTAAACCATGCGATCAATGTAGCTAAAAATCCAATATGATTGCCACCCTCTTCCTAGTTATGTTTTGATTGTTTTCGCGCTTACACTGTGCAGGGAAGTTAAAACTTTTTTTTCTTTGTCAGAAATAAAAATAATCGTACATTGGTTCTTGTTAAAAATGATTTTAGATCGACAGTTTTTCTCCGACATAAATAACTTGATATATTACAGGTTGTTTCTTTGTTTAAAGGTAAAGGATAAACCAATGAAAAAAGTTAATAGTGCTAAAGGTAGAAGCCTACTCATAATATAAGGCAATATAAGGATATTGACCTAAAAAAAGTTGGGGTCACCAGCCTTTTTTTTCGGGAAATTGATGGTGGAAAGTCACCATTTTGACACTATTATAACACTTTTACCACAGGTTCCTAAGGCAGAGATGTTATGCAATATCTCAAAATCTAGCCTGGTGACACAGGCTGAAAGAATCATATATTGTTAATGACGGAGTACTTTTTGTTGTTCTGAATTATTTAAAAAATCTGGGTTTTAAAATGTGTAAAAAAATGCAATTTTTCTTTAACATATTGTTCTATGGAATTTTTCTAAAAATAACAATTTTCAAGAAATATTAGGACACGTTTCTCAAAAAGCATAACTGTAACACACAAAATAATGCTATTTCATTGTACCATGAGACATTAGCTTCATGATTGTACATAATAAACTAATGAACATTGTCATGCGATTTATGACCAATTTTGTCAATAATTATGACTAGGCTTCTACCTTAAAAGGTGATTTTCCGTTCAACTTCGAGATCTCGCGAGATGCATGAAAGACACGCGTCCCAAAATGTATGAATGAATGCAATTTCTAATCGTGGTATGACCCCTATGCGGGCATCAGAAGGGCGCCAACACGCGATTCACGGATACATTCCAACAGTTGCCATAGAGGGAAGTATACACGAACTATGGGCAAAATCTTCCCTGATATACATTGTACATATTTAAATCAACTCTGGACTTTCTAAACTCCCTCAACGGTAGTATTAAAGACTTTGATCAAGTCGTTTTCAAACGTCTTTATATAATCTCATGGGTTTTTTTCGCTGGTTCCCGGTGTCCCTTGCGAATGACTTGGTGCGCCATGGTACTTGGATTTCTTTGCTATCGCCCAGAAGAAACCGAATTATTTCTATTCCCTGTTCAATTTCTTTGCCTTTGTCACATAGGATAACTGTAATTGCCTTCATACATTCTGGATTTTAAAACCATTATCATGCACAATGGTCAAATGTTTCATTATTCTCTTACAACACGAGGCATGTACAATCTTACTCCGTGTTTTTGTATTTTATTCTCTCATGTGCCAACCCAGTGCGAGTTGTTGGGGATTACGGAAAAGTATTTAACGCAAAATCAAATGTTGGCGAATGCCTATGTACCCACCGGATCTCCTACCGCCACGGTGTACACAATGGTATCAGCCACTTTACTTCACGACGAGCGAGGAATGTTACGAGAAAACGCCCTCTATGGGTAACAACTTAACCGAAGTTCACCGGTCGAGTTCACAATAATGTTCTCTGGCAAAATGATTTGAATGTGTCTGCAATTCACGGT